CCTTTCTGATATCCATTGAGTACTTAATCTCATTTATGTTTACACAGAGTTCTTAAATATTAAAATAATTGGTGTTGTTGTTATGTGCCATCGAGTCACTTGAATAAAATAAAATAGACAGGTTATAACTGTTGTTGTGTACCATCAAACTGGAACTGATCCATCGACTTTTCAGAAGCAGTTATTTGAAAGGAGGAGACTGTCCATCCTTCTCCAAAGGAGCAGCCAATTCGAGCAACTGGTAGATTTGATCCTCAAACCTTTGGGTTGCCAGTGTAACTCTTTACATCTAGGCCACCAGAGCGCTAGATGATTATCAGGCAGAACCTATCTCTTGGGTGAGGTGAATATGAGAAAAAGTCAAGACAGGATAGCAATGCACAAGCGAGGAAAAACATAAAAAGTCAAAAGCAGAAGACAGGAAGCTAAGAGACTGGGAAGGTGGGTCTCTCAGAGTGCAAGGGAGGGACTGAGTTCATGAGCTATACTGCAATTCTCTATTTCAGATAAACCATAACTACCTCTCCACGGAGCTACACAGCAATCCTCTGAGCTACCTGCACTTCCTTGAGGTACAGAGATCCCTCTCTGCTTAGCTACACTGTACTCCCACCCATAAGGAAATATGTCTGCCTTTGCACTGAGACCTACATTTCTAGCTCCAGGCAGCTGGGTGGCTCCTGTGTCAATGTCATGTTTTGCTTACTTAACTAAAGAACCTGGAGAAAAGCCTGCTCCTGAAAAAAAGAAAAAGCCTGGAACACAACAACAACGGCACCTAAGTAGCTACCTGAGGGGTCAAAGTCAACAATTATTTTATTAAACATTTGCTAAATTCTGGTGGCTTGGTGGTAAGACATAACACTGTCAACCCAAAGACACACAGCTCAAATTCACCAGCTGCTCTGTAGGACAAAGATGGGCAATCACCTCCTGAGCAATTTACTGTTTCTGAAAACCCACTGGAGGGTCAGCTATAATGAGATGGTGCATAACAACATGTGTCAAGGAATCAAGAAGCAGTCATTTAAAAAAAATAGGAGATATTACATGTTTTAAAATCAGGAAAGGTGTACATTAGGATTTTATCCTTTCACCATACCTGTTAAATCTGTACACTGGACAAATAATCCAAGAAGCTGGACTATATGAAGAACATGGCCTCATGAATGGAGAAAAACTCATGTATAACCTGTGATATGCAGACAACACAACCTTGGTTACTTAAAGTGAAGAGGATTCAAACCATTGAAACAAATCAACATGAAAAGAACCTCATGTTTAGAAAAGCAGAAGTCAGAGAAGCAAGAAGGCAGCCTTCAACAAGATGAACGAACACAAAAAAGAAAAGCCATTTGGAAGACAAGGACAGTAGAGATTAGTGGTGAGTGAGGAAAAGGTGGTGGCGGGTAAAGAAATAGGTAAAGTGCAATGAAGACTTGCAGAGACAGGGTGATAAAAGTACAAATCAATAGTAATTATATAAAACACAATGTACAGAAACTATTTTATAAAACAAAATGTACATGAATGAAACCACATATATGAATAACTATATGGATAAACAATAATTTTTTTTTTTTTAAAAAGACAACTATCTGAACAAGGGGTCCCCTGCAGGGTGGGCTGGGCGAAGGGGAGAGTGGGAGGTGGGAGTGAGAAAATATGCAACAATGGGAGGAAAAAAAGATGGATTGACACAATGACTGCAACAACCATGGGTTCGACCACAGAGATGGTGAGGACAGTGAAGCATTGGTCAGGGTTTACATCTATGGGATACAGGTTTGCCACAGGCTGAGGTCTACTCAGTAACACCTAACAAAATCATTGCTTTTAAAAATTTCTTTAAATTAGTTCAAGTCTAAATGGCTTCTAAGAAGTCAAAAGTGTATTAATGCATCAACGCTTATACGTCATAATGGCCACTTTACTCTCCCCAACAGCATAATCTCTGAGAATACTCCTTATCCACCATCAACTCTGCTGCTCAAGGTCAGGTACTCTTATTTTTATATTGCTTACTAAAGGTATACAAAGCTACAATTATTCACTTAGGAATAACACCTTTAATTTGTTTAACAATTAGAGAAGACATAATTTTTCTCTAAAAGGCATTATCTTCCTGCTTTCTTGCTGGTAGAGACCTGCTTTTGCAGACGTACTCAACTTCTGAGGTGCAAAAGGAAAGTGTTCCTTTCAAACTCTAAAGGATGAAGGCTTTGTTAGTTCAAATGTTGAGCTAGCATTCCTTTTGTCAGGAAGTGGGTCAAGCACGGCCATAAGAACAACTCTGTAAAACCAGAGAGAAGGTGGGTACAAAGTTTTCCCCGTAACATAAGAGATCCATGCAAAGAATCTGTGCTTCTTGTCTTTGAATGGAGTAGGCACAGACAGAATTATGGAAATAATTATGTAAATACAAGTTTGAGAATGGAAGCCAATGTATCAGATGAGATAATACAGTAGATGAGAAAGGTAAAGAGAACCTGGGTTCATATATTGTCAATTAATCAATCTTGTACTTCTTTTTGTATGACATGGTAAACCCGTTACTGAATAAGAGTCATAATATTTTTTTTCAGATGCTATTGTTTTTAACTTGACATAATCTACAAGGAAATCTATGAGTCCATTTTCATTTGAACCTATGGCTGACTCTGAGAAGAATGGGAATCCCAGAACATGTGACTGTGCTAATGTGAAACCTATACTTGGACCAAGAGGCAGTTGTCTGGACAGAACAGGGAGACACTGGATGGTTCAAAATCAAGAAAAGGGTCCATCAGGGATGTATTTTGTCTCCATACCTTTTCAATCTGTATGCAGAACAGATCATCCAAGATGCTGGGCTGTACGAGAAGGAATGTGGCATCAGGATTGGTGGAAGAATCCTCAACAACCTGCTTTATGTAGATGACACAACCCTGCTTGCTGAAACTGAGGAGGACCTGAAGCGCTTGCTGCAGAAGGTCAAGGACTGCAGTCTTCAATATGGATTGAAGCTCAACATCAAAAAAACAAAGATTCTCAACACTGGGCCAATTGGCAGCATCAGTACGGATGGTGAAGAGATTGAGATAGTTAACAGTTTTAGTTTACTTGGTTCCACAGTTAACACTCTTGGTAACAGCAGCCAGGAAATCAGGAGAAGAATTGCACTGGGGAAGTCAGCTGTGAGGGACCTCTCAATGACGTCAGGCTGGAGACTAAGGTGCGCCTGATCCAGGCTACAGTCTTTGCAATTACGTGCTATGAATCGGAGAGTTGGACAGTGAATAGGGATGACAGAAAGAGAACTGATGCCTCTGAGGGGTGGTACTGGAGAAGAGTGTTGAATATACCATGGACTGCTAGGAGAACAAACAGGTTTGTTTGTCCTGGAGAGGGTGAAGCCAGAACGCTCCTTGGAGTCAAGGGTTCTGAACCTTTGTGTGACATACTTTGGGCATGTTGCAAGGAGGGACTGGTCCTTGGAGAGGGACATCATGTTTGGGAGAGTGGAGGGATGGCGCAGGAGAGGAAGACCCTTAATGGGATGGACTGATTCTGTGAGTGGAGTGGTGGAAATGAGTGTGTTTGGGATGGCAAGGTTGGCACAGGATAGAACAGTGTTTAGGGCTCTTGTACATAGGGTCGCTATGAGTTGCAAATGACTCAATGGCACATAACAACAACAACACCCATATTTAGCATAGGGAAATGGGTTTGAATGAAAGGGATTCAAATAAAGGACAAAGGTCTAGAGAGGTTACTTCTCTGTTAATGTTTATCAAGTTTGGGAACTTCTTTAGCACTTTTACTGGTCAATCTACCACAAAGCATGTATTAATTTCTGCTCATCTAGCTGTACACTAGACACAGGAAGCGGGATATTTAGTAGACAACATGATCTTCATTTTCAAAGATCACAATATAGTTTTGGATACTAGATCAAAGACAAAATAAGTGAGATACAATAGTAAGAGTTTAGAGCAAGGAAAGAATTTATGTGGGTAAAAATTAGCATAAAAGGAACTTTAGCAATGGCAAGACCTAAATGAAATGTGGAACTGAGAGTTGTTCTAAGTGGCATTTTCTATTTCTTTAGAATCTGTCTTCAGTTTTTTCTGGAACAAAGAGATAAAACATTGGCAAAGGGGCAAGCAAGTAAACAGAGGTGATAAAACTTACACCACTGTGTTGAGTCCTAAACCAGACAACAGAAGTACAAGACAGCAGTGACCCAAGAGGCCATTGAGAGACATTATTTCCTTCCTCCTGGCTTTGAACGGCAATCTGTTTTTGTTTCTCCAACTAGATTGCAAGCTTCTGATCTAAGGGAACCATAGATCCCAGACTATTTATTCTGGCTGTTAACTCTGGAATATCAAGTATCCACACTGGGCAAGTCTAATGAACTCAACATATGTATACTGAACATCACTCAACTAAATAACAAAGAAGCTATTACTATCTTCCTTTTTTTCCTTTTTGCTATTAGTATCTTTTGAGTTGCCCCAGAAACAAGCTCAGACTAACAACAGTGGTGGCTACAGCCACATTTCCACACCCAGAATTCAAGAAACCAGAGAACAAGGGCCTCCTCTTGATCATGCTAAGGCTCATGAGAATGAGGTATTTATACTAATACTGCTATACTGCTCACTGTCCTCATTTCTTAAGGCTAAAGGACTAATTGGTTCTTGATATTCTGTCATATGTAACAGAGGCAATGGTGAGACAGATCCGGGGTGCGGAGGAGTCACAAAGGAATGTCTGGTATAATTATATATAGTTGCTACTATAAGCCTGCCTTTCCATTGAGTGCCCGATAAACATTACCCTGTTACAACCCAATTGCCTCTTTAATCAAAGAGGCACATGGTAACTATTAAATGCCATCATTCTGTGATCACGAGTATGTTTATTCAGTGAGTGGCGATAAATTAAAGAACTACATGGATAGGACATGTTCATGATTACAAGGCACAGCCGTGCTTTTTCTTCTCCACGCATACCTCCTCACAGACTTCACGGACTGCTGCCACACTTGGCTCCTCCTCAGGCTCCATGCCTCCTCCGGGGACAATCCATCGATCTGGATGGCGACTACTGCTTACAAGTAGCACCTGAAGTCATAGAAGTTATGTGGAATGTTAAAAACTCAAAAGGTACATTTATACCAACATCAAATAAATAAATAAATAAAAGTAACTAATATCCAATCTTTGCTTATACCTTTCCAATCACTTCTTGTAGGTTATTTTTCATTTCTTTGTTGTTGTTTTTTTAAAATTTTTATTTTATTTTATTATTTTTGTGTGCGTGTACTGTCAAATCAGATCTGACTGGTACAGGAGGAGATTGCCCCTCCTTCCCCGGCAGAGCATCTGGTGGATTCGAACCGTGCACCTCTGGGATTGTAGTTGCAGCTTCTTGCCACTAGGCCACCAGAGCTCCCCACATTTCTTTGTTTGAAAAAGTAGACTAACAAGGCAATGTGCCTGGTAAAAGTAGAACACTTGAATGAGTGGCCATTATCTCTATCTTTCCCTTTAGAGGCTCAGTCACTCGTTCTATTTCTCTCCTCTCTCTCAAAGCCTTTTGAACACAAGGACTGACAAAGAGACAAAAGGTTTGAGAGAGAGAGAGAGACAAAGACAGACGCTACTGAGCCAAGTACCATTAAGGGCTGGCCAGGAGGAAAGCATTTTTGGCCCTAACTGCATCATGATCCCAATGCTTTCCCTTCAGGGTCCTCACTCCTGTGTGTCTCAGTTCCTGCTCCATTAAGATGGCTACAGGCCAACACAACAGAACACAACACACTATGCTTTAAGTGTACACTAAAAACTTAATTCTTATGTACATTCAAAATAAACTGTTCGAAGGCCCCAAATATGCTGCTGCTGAATTAAGACTAATTTACAGCAATCCTCCATCAGGTTTTTGAGGCTGTAAGTCTATCTTTCTGAGAAGCTGGGAGAAACACACTGCTGAACTTTTGGTTAGCAGTCTGACACGTTACTCACTAATCCAACAGCACTCCTTTACATTAGGAAGTAAATTCTTTTTCCTCATAGTTTCATCTGAGACAAAACTATCCCTTTTTATTAGGAAATTTTTCAGGAAATAAAAAGAGGACCAAACAAATACACAAACAAAACACTTATAAAGAACACAATTTACTAATTTTAACTCAACAGGTGACTCTAGTTCTGATTTAAATAAAATCTAGAATTTCCAAAGTTCCTTACATTTGCTTACCCTCCCTACGACAAACTCTCAGTAAAGTCAGACTCCTGGTTTAAAGGTTGGGTTGAGTTGGCATTATGTCTAAACTTGAGGATTCTGAAATCACGACTGTTTGGTGATGCGTTTCAAGATCTTATCCCTAAACTACATCCTCTTTGAGCACTTCACTTCCATTCTGCAGTCATCCTTTCTAGTCCTTCGAGATTCCATTGAGTTCTAGTTACCCAGAAAATACCTCTAGTCACTTTCTTTCTCTTTTTCATGAAGTCTCTGCAACTATGGACCCCTGGAATTTTCTTCCTTTTTAATACCTTCCTTTCTGTCCTAATAAATTTTATTTATGCTTAAATAAAAAATCTGTGATCTGCAGACCACAGAATATAGAAAGAGGATCTATGAATCTATACAGAGTCAACAATATAGTACCCACTGGCGGGGGGAGTCTTATTTTTTCTTAAGCAATGTTTTAAAAAAGGCATTTAAATCCTGCTTTGATTAACGTAATGTAGACTAATTTAAAATCATATCAAATTCCTAACATTTTTGACTCACATGTATGAATGTTCAATTACAGGATGTTAAACAGAAGGAAGAGTGTTAGGCATAAGAAGAGGATATGGTATGTGCGGTTAACTGCCCCATGAACAATGTCTTGTTTGCCATGTAACCAAGAAGAAATGGAAGTGCTCAGCTACCCTTATTGAATATGCTGATCAAGAGTCTACAGCAGAATTCTGATTAGAAGGGAGAAGATTTACATAGAATTTTAAATTCTCCCGAAACTTAGGTTTTGTAGAGTCATGAAGACTACTGAACGGACCCCTGAAATTTGCCCTGTGATAATTATACCAAAACCACTCTCTAAAGTCTTCTTAAGACCAAATAATAAAAAATGTCTGTCTTGACCATTCTACTCTTTTTTTCTCCCTCTTGTTGTGTACCGTTGAATCTGTTCCAACTGGAACAGGAGGAGATTGTCTCTCCTTTGCCAGCAGATTATCTGGGGGATTCAAACCACACACTTTTGGGATTGCAGCGTAGCTTCTTGCCACTAGGCTACCAGAGCTCCCTGACTATTCTACTCTTACAACTCTTACAGCTATGCGACAAAGATGAGGCACTCTCTTCCTATAAAGAATTACAGCTTTGGAAACTTGTTTGATAGAAGACTGCCATGGGCTGGAATTGCATCAAAGGCACTGGGGTTTTTTTGTTTTTTAATATCACATAAAAAATTATGACGTTAACTAGAAAAATTAGATAAGAACCTTAGAGGTCAGTGAGTTTTATGTTAATGGAAGAAAAACAATTCAGAAACAGAACGTGAGAAAGGCTGTACCATTTGAGGAATGTCATCAATGCCATTGAATTGTATAGGTAGAAACAGTTGGTCTTTGGGGTTTTTCTTGTTTTTGAATGAAAGGTTGGTTTTCATTCATTCATTCCTGCTTATTTTCCTCTGTCCATCTTCATTCCACTTCCCCTAAGTTTACTTTGTAATGTACTTCTTGTTCCAGATTGTTAACTGTCACCCACATAATGATACATTCTTTCAGACAGTTCTTCCCCTCATCTGTTACAGTGCAATGATTCTTATCTATCCACTTTTGTTCTGTTCTCCACTCTGGACCCCTGTGTCAAACATTACATCAGTGGTGTTATACACCATTTTTCCTTTTGTAACTGAGATTATTTTACTCAGCATAATGTCTTCCAGATTATTTTACTCAGCATAATGTCTTCCAGACTCAACCATTGTGTTCATCATCCTGGGAAAGGTTGAAGGTCAAAGGAAATGAGGAAGACCTTCAATAACACAGACTGACAAAGTGACTCTAACAATGGGTTTGAGCATATTAGAGATCATGAGGATGACATAGGATAGAGTATGGTTCAGTTCGGTTGTTCACAGGGTTGTTAGAAGTCATAGGTGATTCAATGGCACCTAACAACGTCAACAGGACAGTTATAATTAAAACCAGAAAATAAGTGTCAAGAATGTGAGAAAACTGGAACCCTCTAACACAGCTGAGAGGAATGTAAAATGGAGTGGCTGTGGCAAAACAGTTTGGCAGTGCTTCAAAAACTGAAACACATAATTATTATATCATTTAGCAATTCCACTGTTAGGCATATACCCAAAAGAACTGAAAATGGGTACTAAAATAAATTGATGTACAAGAATGTTCGTTTGGCAGGCCGCTCAGGGAGGGGATACAGGAGTCTGACCAGCTGAAAGCTGGGCAGCTTAGAGGCCTGTCACAGTCCCCACCCATCTTCCCAGGTAATCGAAGATGCAAAAAACCGGGTGACATTCGTTCCGGCTCTCAGGCCTCCAGCCCTAGGGCCAAGAAAAGCCTATCTACACACCAGTTCTATAGGATGCATCACCTTTGTTCGGGAAACATGACTAAACTTCAGAGACATTGGTCCCAACATAAGGAACTACCAGCAGCTGATGTGTTTGGAATCACAGAAGCCAAGGAAGCTTCATATATGTTATTAGATGGACGGCTGGTCAAAGGGAGACAGATGTGAAGGGAAGGGGTAGAAGTGGATGGGTATCCTGGTGGATGGTGTAGCAGGGAAATAAGTGGGTAAAGACGTGTGTGAGAAAGGCAGGGACAACACTGACACTAAAGTAACTCCACAATAAGGGATATACCTTTAACTTGCTGGTCTGTCTGATACTTCTCTAAATCTGAACATTCACATTAAGGCAGACTAGGAAGAAGGATTGGCCATCTACTTGTGAAATAGCAGGCCTCTGAAAACCCTATGTACAACAGAATACATTCAGATAACAGAAAGAGCAAAGGAGGTTGAGTTTTCAAGTATGGAAATACAAAGGAAGAGGAACAGTTGTAAGCAGACACTGGTGACTGGAACATGGAATGTGAGAACCATGAATGTAGGAAAATTAGGTATTGTTAAAGAAGAAATGTAACGCATAAATATTGACATACTAAGCATTGGTAAGATGAGATGGACTGGCATGGGGCATTCTGAGTCGGATGACCATATGATATATTACTCTGGAGATGAAAAGGTGAGGAAAAATGGAGTTGCTTTCATAGTTAAAAAAGTCATTGCTAGATCCATCTTGAAGTACAATATTGTCAGTGACAGGATAATATCTATATGCATAGAAGGATGTCCAGTGAATACCACTATCATTCAAATATATGCACCACCAACCAGAGCCAAAGAAGAGGATACAGAAGATTTTTACCAACTTTTACAATCAGAGATTGATCGAATATGCAATCAAATGCATTGATAATAATGGGTGACTGGAATGCAAAAGTCGGGAACAAAGAAGAAGATTCAGTAGTTGGAAAACATGGACTCGGTGACAGAAATGGAGCTGGAGAGAGAATGATCGAATTTTGCACAATCAATGAC